TCCTACAGTGGGTGGTTTTTAATTCTCCTGGCTTGATGATTATAAGTTAGGTCCTTCTCATTGGTTACAAATGGAATTAATGTGTCTCTACAGAACTATCCCTCAGTCACTGCCATGAAAAAGTGGATAATCAGAAAAGAGAGTGAGAAGGGAAATGGAATATATATCCCTTGGGGCCAGAGTGGCAACTGACACTGTCCTCTCCATACATGTACTGATTCAGATGTGGCCGTTCAACACATCTGACCAGCTCAGTGAAAGCTTCTCCACTGAAATAACTCTCTGCTAATCTACTTCATCCCCGTTATTCCCTGTCTGCCCACATTACTGGAATCTCCAGAACTCCTTGCCCCTTTGGAAGTTTATCATTTGTTGTCCTGTCTCTTCCTCCCCGCTGGAAAATTACTATGTCATGAGAATGGTTTCAGTGACTACATTTATAAATCATCTGCTGACATAGATCCCCCCAAAGAGGGCCCAACAGTTTTTGTGGAGATGTCTAGACAGAGGGCTTACCAAACTTCAGTGTTGGCCTTGCTCTTCTCCTAGTGACTTCTAGGAGGTATCTCTTACCCTTGACTGCATAAGAAACAGTAAAAAAAATTCCCGTTGCCTCATTTTAAGGCATTCTCAAAAGCCAGTTACATCACAGTGTAATTGTGAATTTTCCATACAACTCTTCACACACTGTTTCTAACTTCAAAGTGTCCTTTGTTTTTTGGCTGTCTTCTGTAAAAGCATTATGTGTCTAAATTCCAAGTTATAAAATCTATGTAAACATGATATGGAACTTTAATCCTCCTTATTCCCAAAGCTGAGAGACCACTTATTTACCAAAGATGAGTTATCCTACTTCTGGTAGCCAGCAACAATGGCAGTATTGATGATCTTTCAACTGAGTCATTACCTCCTACCTCCCAGCACTTGAAAGGACTTTTTTCTTGTGGTATAAAAGCAAAGACCAGAAACATTGCTACACAGGTGCCAGAAATTGTGTTACTTACATGCCGGGACCTGGTTCACTTCTGCCTTTGTTCCTTGCAGCTCTTCTCCTTTGCTATCAACACACCAACAATCACGAAGTTCAAAATGGCTTAATGGAGTGCTGAAATCAGTGTATGGTCCCGGGTAATAGGTGAACTGCTCATTCAGAAGCTGCCAAAATATATATGGATCCAGTAAAATGTTCTTAGATGCATAGGTCACATTTCCTTCCAGCACTTCAGGTGGGAGATCAGTGAAGGAGGAATAATTAGTGAATGCTGGGAAGACATTCTGGTGCCCAGCCTCATACAAAGCTTTGATAAAAGCAGAAAAGCCTTTGGAAGATGCCTCTTTATATCCCGTTATGATGTTCAATAAATTAGCAACAGGCAGGGTTTTGCCTTCATTGTTCTCTGCAATCCACCTTTCGTACCACTCAAAGGCTTGCTCAGGAGGTCCACTGCACTGCACCTGCCTCCAGGCACCATCAGCATCACACTGTGGGAGGTAAACGCTGGAGATCTGAGACAGAGCACTTGGATCTGACAACAGGAGTTTCACAGCCTTTAGAAACTCTTGACCAGCTGTTAGTTGGCAAGCACTCGGGCCTGGAGAAAAGAAGAACATGCATCTCATATCTTATGAATACATTGAAGATATAGAATACCACCTACCCCTCTAGTACTATAAACACCATTAGTAAAACTTGGTCACTTATCCCATACTAACAACATTTCTGGCCTCTTATTAAGAGGTCTAATGCTCTTAAAGTCCTATGCTGAACCAGGGTAAGATTTCCAAAGACACGTGAGCATGGCAAGCTGCACAGAGCTATGATTTTTAAACGCATCTGGGCACATTATCTACCTGTAATTCTTACTGGGCAGGATAGGTGCTTGATGCCACTAAATGCCTTCCTGAATCTGTTCACATCAACTAGGTATTTTCAGGTACACTTGAAAATCTGTCAGTTAATTCATTTTCAGCCAATCCGTGCAAAAGCAACCATCCGAACAGTAGGATAATACTGATTTTATTTCCCCTTGGACCTAACCAGAATTTTCAGATTCTCTCTTCCTATTCTCTACTGAGTATTGCAGTTGAACATAAAAATACTATCCTTCAAAATGCTGGAGTGAGTTTGTTTTGAAGACTTTTCTGCCCTCTCCAGAGCCAAATTTAATTTTGCCACCAAGCAGCTCTACAAACATAGCAAAACATAGGAGCTCATCTTCTTTTGAGCACCAGAGAATTATGAACTTGTTTATTTTTGATTGCACTATAGATGGATTGCTAGATATAAATCCCCTACCAATTCAGATCATTGCGATAAATTACCCACTACTTCTGCAGATTGCTATTCAAAGAAGCTCCTTCACTATGTACCATTATCATCTGCTGGATACTCTGCTACTCCTTCCAAAATGAGAAGCGGGCTCCTCTCTTGGTCTGTTCTCCCTCTTGATGTGCCATTTTCAGTTCACAGAAACTTGAAAGACAAATATCCCTCTCCTATGTGCTTCCTTCTTCCTCTATATCAAGTTATTAGAAAGGCAGAGGAGGCACTTCATAGTCTATAAACAAGCTGCAAGGCCAAACTGATGTCTGACAAGTCATTTGTGACTCACTTTTCTGGCCTGATTGTGTGACCTTTATGAGAAACCTATAAGCTGTTTAATCCTTTTATGAAAAACTTATTAGCCTTTGAATCCCTCTCCTATGTTTGGACTTCCGTGGTATCCTACCAAGTTGAAGATATATTCTTGACCTAAAAGACTAAGAGATTAATGGTTCAAGGCACTGAAGCTCTTCAGTTCTCAGGACAAGGATGAGCCAGTGCCCATGCCCAGGTGACTTGGTCCAGGAAGTAAAAGGGTTTTTTCATTTGGCATGGGTCATATTCAGTTACACAGATGCTCAAGGTCTCATAGGCATCATGAATGTCATCCACACTAACTACACACGAAAGCAGAGACAGATGCCAATGGCATGCTTACTAACAAGGCAAGACCTCAGGCTCCTGCTTTGAGTGTGCCTATCCTAACCCACCGAAAGGAGAGGGAACTTCTTTAAGACTTAGGACATCAAGGTTTACATACACTATATTTCCCACTGTTCCCCTGCAACTGTAGGGCTGACTCACTTTCCTCTTAGGGGACAATATTGTTTGTGTACATCATCCACACATTTCCAGATATAATCAGACATGAAGAAAGAATAATGAAATTCCAACACAAAAAGAAAGCATCTTTAAATTCATAATCTCTAGGACTTACACTGCATCATCTTTTCATCTTTTCCTCTTATTCCTGGAATAGTCTTGCCATTCAAATCAACACAGAAACAATTAGTCCCATAACACTGGAGTGGCAGAAAGTCTCCATCCTTGGTACAAGAGGGAATAAAAAGATCTGATCCTGCAGGCAGGCTTTGCTTCAAGTTTTGCAGGTTTCTCCTTTGCTTCTCACAATCACTGGGACACCTTGGACGTTTGCCTTGAACTCTTGAGCCTGGAACCTCCTTACCTGAAGTGCTCAAACACCAGCACTCTCCTGCATAGCACTGAACTTCCTCATACCTCCCCTCTTTGGTGCATGTTGGAACAAACAGGTCCCTTGGCTCCTGACTGCAGTCTTCGGATCCCAATGCTAGTTTCACCACTTCACCTAAGTCTTCAGCAAAGCTTTTGGGGACAGAAATCACTTGTTGAAGAAAAGTAAAAAACTCTGGTAGTTCCAAAACAGAGGAAAGGAATTTCATCATATTCTGATTGTCCTGTAGAGTCACTCTGCGGCTGAAGCTGTCTATAAGAGGTTTACTCAAAATGGAGCTCCCCTTCAATACCTCCAATGAAAATGCCTCAGCTGATTCCAGAGGGCCTTGGCCATTATCCCTGTCTGCCACATCCTCCTGTGGGAAAAACTGGCCAATGCTGTATTTCCCACTAGTGCCAAGTGCCCCTGTGAAGTTAAACTGGATCAAATTTTTCAAGAACCTTCCTCCAAAGAGGTTTTCTTGGAAACGCTTTGGATTGGTAGTAAATTGCAGTGCTACTTGAGCCAGTTCCCTTGATGGGAACATCCCTGTGATAGCTTCACGAAGCGTGGTTTCTAGCCCAGGAATTTGGCTGGTATATGGGCTTTGTGCAATTGGGGATGACAAGCCAGAGTCCAGAAACAGCTCCTTGAAGGAGGAAGGGCAGGGTCTTGAGGAGCCAGCTATTTTTTCCAACTGCATATCTGGCGTGGAAAACAAATTGGGCTGACTGAAGTACCCAGCAGGGCCATAAAAGATCCTCGACAAGGCCCGTCGTCTCTCAGAGATGCACACTTGTTCTTCACCTAGACAAAGATTTTTAAAAAATGTCAAATTTTAGAACTTCTAAACCTGTAACTCTACGGCCATCTTTCAAGCAGTCTTGGCAGAAACCACATAAAAGTATAGTTTAACCTGTCTCTAGTTCCTTAACTACACATCACACACATTGATAAGGAACTTTGAACTGTTGTTGAATATGGTCTAAAATAGATTCTCCAGCCAAGGCATAAAGTAAAAGGAAACATTCCTTCAACACATCTGAGTTGTCTGCTCTGTAGTCTGGTTCTATTGTTTCCCGAAGGAAATCCTTGTTCCTGTTCCTATGAATTAATAAAGTGTTTTCCATATATGTTAACTCCCTGGTAGGATGCCTGCTTCTAATGAAAACCTCCAGTAATCCAGGCACAAGATATGAACCTAAGAGAAATAGGCTGCAGAAAAACTGAAAATTATTTTAACAAATGCCTACTAATGAGGAATTTATGGAGGCTTCCTATCTAGATCTTCAGTTTCATAATGAAGCATTCATTACAAGATGTTTGAAAACAAATTGTTAAAATTAGCAGTAATAGTGTGCTAAGGACCAGATGGCATTCACAAATGAGCTCTAAAGGAAAAAAAAATCTATTTCAACAAAAATAGTTAAATGTCAGGGTACTAAGGGTACCAAAAGGGATCTTGGCCACCCACTTTGAGCCAAGCTATGTCATAGGCATGTCTGCATTGATCCCTGTCTGTATGTTAATACACAGACAGCAATGCCTCCAAGTTAGGATCCAACACATCACTGAAGAAGAACCTGTGAACACAACAGCTTAAGGCTTAAAAGACACCAAAAAAAGGAAAGATTTAGTAGATATAAGGACACTGAGAAACAAACAGGCAGGATGGTAAGGGCACATGCCACACAGTTACCTTTCCTTGAAAAGCAGCAGAATTATAGAGAAGAGATGCAAAAGTAGAATAAATATAGAGAATGTATGCAAAAATATTTTGAGGACAGAAGAGATTTTCCAGTAGGAGAAACTATTCAGCTTGGACAAAAAAACATACGATGAAGGTTTTTAAAAGCCAGAGCTCTCCACATCAATCACAATAGACAGTTAATATTTAGTGCTTCTCACGGTACAGGAATTAGAATGGTCCAGAAATAGAGTACATAATTACAGTAATGAAATTCATTGCCAGAGGATGTTAGGAAGGATAAAAGGTTAGAGAACAATCAGGCAAAACCCTGGGAGATGACTCCATAGGGTAATGTTGAACACGATACTCTGGGTTCAGCCTCCAGTTTGGGGCCTCTTCCACCTTCAGGAGGTTATATGGAAGCTATACACATTTCCCATGTTTCTCACACTTTCTCCCTAGGCACTGCTGCTGTCCCTGTAGGGACAGGATGATGGATAAACAGAATCACACAGAATCACAGAATGTTAGGGATTTGTTAGGGAACAGCTTTGGTCTGCTCCAGTATGGTCTCCCTTAGGTTTCCCATGCCATCCCCATTTATTCCACATTAAAGCAATATGATAAAGCAGTCATAAATCCTGTTAAAAGTAAGGTTAGAAGCTGGAAATCTCAAAAGCTGCTAAAAGAGATTAACAAGTAATCTGAGTCTCTGTGATCAGCATCCTTCTCTCTCCTCCTTTCACACTCTTGTCCTGCTCCACAGTTCCTGGCAAGGGCTCAGGGTCCCTCACAGTGGTTCCTTTATAAAGGCATTTTCTGTTGGATGGGCCCCTTCTGTTTTCAGTGTTGGCTCTTGGTAAGAGGGATGAAGAACTTTCCTCTGGGGACCAATAAATTAGTGTAAACCAGAATCCTACAAGTAGACTAATATGAAACAAATGTAGGGTCATGGTCTTTAAACGCTCTCCCCTCCTATCCACTATTGAATCAAATCAAAGCAGAGTGAGAAGGAATAAACAGAAAAGCACTGCTAGGGTGAATTTACTGCAAAGGTCTGAAAAGGAGCACGTCTCTAGCAGGATTGCCTGGTGTCCCAGGTCATATGAGCACCTGGTGTGCTACCCACACCTACATCTCTGTCTCCTCCAGTGTTCAAGCTGCTGAGTGTGAGAGTCGAAGATATTAAAGAGAAATAAAACAGAGCAGAACTGGAGACACACACATGGCATGTAGCTGTCTGAACACAGACTGCAGCTATATCCTCATGAAATTTCTTCTCAGGAGTTAGTCTCCAAGACCTTTGCAGAAATTTTTCCTTGTTTGAATTTCCTGAGTGTGCCAATAAAAGCAAAAAAAAAAAAAAGGAAAAAAAAAGAAAAAATCATCAGAAGGGCTCAGCAAAGCACATTCAAAGAGAAAACAACCAGTCCCAACATATGGCAAGGCCTCTTGGAGGTTCCCAGCCTCAGAAGCGTGCTAACGTTTTCATTTCACAGTAAGCCTGCCTGTGCCCAGAGCACTCTGAGCAACTTGGGGCCGTGACACTCAGGGCAGGTTCCTCCTCCTCTATCTGCATGGTAAGACTGTGTCTCACAGACAGAGAAATTACCTTCCCTGAAGGTAGCTCCTGCATTAAGACCTTGCGCTCCCCCAGCCCTCCAGCACAATTCTGAATATTTAAGTAGTGTGCTTCAGAGTTAAAGTTTTTAACTTTCCTCTTCCCCTCCAGCCCTTTGACATTTCTGCTGTCATTTCCATTTGGGGTATTGATTTGATGATGTATTCTTAATGATATCTCTCAAATCCCAAACCCATACAACTTTTCCAAATTGTTTGGAATTTTTCATGGTCAAATTCGCAGTGACAGAGATGGGAAAAAATGCTCAGAATGCAAGACACCTTACAAATTCCATAGCATTTCACCAAAGGAAGGAGGTAAAACCCAAAACCACCGTCACTGGATTCCTTATATTATCCTAGATATTTTGACTTAACATCACGAGACAGGTATTGTGGCTGCAAGAAAACTCTTGCTGTATGCAGAACTAAAAGGCTAAAGAAAGGTCATAAAGGAAAATAAATATGATATTTAATAATTTATTAGAACGTGGCTTTCAAACCCAGGGAAGTTTTTGGATCCCAGTTTTTGAATACCAGAATCTGTCAGAGCCAAGAAGGGAACAAGTCCCTTTTTATCTTTAGATAAAATTCCCACAGCAGATGAAGTGTTTGGAGAGGTGAATGGACCTGGCTTGGATTTGAAGTGTGCATGGATCTACAAGGCAATAGTGCTTGTTAGCTCCTTTTCTCTTCCTACATCTCCCACAGACCAAGATTGATCTCTTGCAGACACCAGCTGGGGGAAGCACTAAAGGACAATGGCTGGTGGTTGCATCACGCTTCAACAATTGCTACCAAATCAAATTATTTTCCCCAACTCTCAGATTTTTCCAAGAAAAATGTGATGCACACAGACTGGAGCGACTAAATGAACACAAGAGATGTGCTAATTTTTCTTTTCCCAAACATACCACAGGCCGGGGGTTGTCCTCGTCTCTTTGTGCCCTGGACCTCTTGTCCTTTGGTGTCCACACACCAGCACTGTCCTCCCTGCTGACACTGCACGGGTGTGTAGCTCCCATCAGTATCACAGGATGGCACGTAGGTGTGCTGGTACCGCAGGGCTGTGTGCCGCTCAACCTCACACTTCGAGGGGCCTGGAAGAAAAACAGTATGCGTTAAGGAGGGAAAGCTTGAAGTTTCTGAGCCATAATATCTGCTTGATCCCATTGTTTGCCTATTTGTGGAGGGAGGGAGAGAAAAAAAAGTTTAATTTCCTTACTGTTTTCAGTGAAACTTCAAATACCAGCCCAAAATGCAAATTCTCCATCCTCTTTTCCCTTACAGAATCGGCCCGAGTTTTCTACTCTAGGTATTCATTTCTGAAAACTAAACAGGAAATAAAACCTCAACATATTTTTCAGCCATAGTTGTGAGTAGGCAGAGTAGTAGCATCTACCAGCAGCCATGCTGGAGGCTAGGTGAGCTCTATTCCTTAGTGCAAATGCAAAGCTGGTCAGTAGATATAGATGTGCTGCCTAGGAGACTGAGATGAAGGCAAACTTCAATGCTTTTGAAGAGAATGTGATATTGCTCCTGTAAAAGGATCTGCACCTGACTATGGAGATTTGATCTGGGACCACCTAATTTCTTTATTTTCCTCTGCGGGGATCTGAAGACTCTATTCCTGTCAAACTGGTCTTTGAAGAACCCAAAACTCTGTAAGCAAATCTTCTGAGTTATGATCTCTCCAATATTAGACTCTGTATTGGGTCTGGCTGGGCTGGAGTTGATTTTCCCCGTGGCAGCCCTCAGAGTGCTGTGTTTTGTATTGGTGGCTCGAGGGGTGTTGATAACACCCCAGTGTTTTGGTTACTGGTGAGCAGTGCTAGCACAGCACCAAGGCTGTCTCTCCAACATTTCCCCCAGTAGGCTGGAGGTGGGGAAGGTCTTGGGAGGTGACACAGCTAGGACAGCTGACCCAAACGGACCAAAGGGATATTCCAGACCATATGACTCATGTTCAGAAATAAAAGCAAGGGAAAAGGAGTGGGAGGGGAGGGCATTCGTTACTTCCGTTTGTCCTCCAGGAACCGCAACGTGTATGAAAACCCTGCTTCCTGGGAAGTGGCCAAACATCACCTGCTGATGGGAAGTAGAGAATAAATATTTTGTTCTTTTCCTTCTGCAGGCGCAGCTTTGCTTTGCTTCTATTAAACTGTCTTTGTCTCAACCCACGAGTTTTTTTTTCCTCTTGTGTTCCATCTTATTTTCTCCCCCTGCCCAATTGAGGAGGGGGAGTGATAGAGTGGGCTTTGGTGGGTATCTGGCCTCTAGCCAGGGTCAACCCACCACAGACTCCAACCTTCCAACAGAAATTTTGCTTGTTTATATAAACCTGCAACCCTACAGCCTAAACATTTCTCACCTTCAAGAGCTTTCCAGCTGCACTCAGATACCAGGTTGAGGCAGCAAGAGCATCACATGAGAACCACCTGTTCATCAGGGAAGTCTGACAACTTTCCTAATACGTGTGGCTTCAGGTGGCAGTGTGAGATCAGGGTAAGTCACCAAAGCAGTCCCCCTCAGTGGATGATGAGCGTGGTCACATCTCCATCTTGTGGCTGCTACAGCTTCGCCTTTGCTGACAGCTGCTGCATCACTCACTACAGTCAGCTTATTGCACAAAGCTGCGCAGCTGAAGGGGGAGGATGATTCCCAGACTCCCCAGAATGATCAGCTTGTTCCAGAAACAGAAAACTGTGTTAACTATGTGGTCAGAAGACTTACATCGGTATCTGCTTAATATCTCTGGTGATGCAACTCCTTAGTGAGAGTCAGACAGCAATGTCAGAGGAATTTGGATGGGAGGATGAAGGATCACAGCAGGGGGTTCAAACTCTCCCCAGCCAAGGCAATTCTCTTGGGCTCTGGTGTAGGAGACAGAAGGACATACCTGACCTCATGTCCCACAGAGTTCACTGCCCTTAGGCAAAGAAACTCTCTCCCCATTTGCCTGCCCTGACAGGGAAAGGAATGGACCTGAGGGCAGATCTGGAAGTTCAGCCTTGCTGGCTAAGGCACTACAAAATCTTGTGTAGCCTCCTGGGGATCAAAGCGTGTTGTGGTCAGTGTAAGATCCTCCCTATTTCTTTGTGTAGTATTATAAATTAGGGAGAAATTTATCAGGCTTTTAATTTAATAAATTATCAGATCCATCTCCATGATCTCAGGGCAAGAGATACAGCAAGTTCATGGGATTTCAACCAATGTGAACTTCAAGTACATGAGAAAGAGTTGATCAGAGGACAGGCACAATCCGCTGGTAAGAATGTACAATCCAGAGGTTAAAAGTCAGCTGCAATTTAGAGACCTTGGTTCTTGCACAGAAGCACTGATAATCTATGCTTTTAGTGCAAGAGACTCCTAGAACAACTCTCCCCAATGGCAGCTGTCACATATAAGCTCCAAAATTGTCACCTTATTTACAGGGTATCACCTGGGTGCTACTTACATCTGAACTTGCCAGAGGTAGCGAGCTGAACCCCCAGAAACCGTCTCTGCAGGATCCGATATATGCTGGTCTCTGTGAACATGCGGGCAGGCTCCAGCGCAGAGAAAACTGTGTCGTAAACTTCATCGAGCAGCAGTTCCAAGCCTGGGAAAGAGAGACTTTGAGCAGAGAGCCTGGTTTGAAGGCTGAAGTCACCTGCTTTACACCAGAGTGGAAGCAGAATTGGAAGCCTATCAGGAAAAAGAAAACCACTCCTCTAAACAGGGCAAATGGGAACTTATTCTGCATAATCCTAATGCACCACACCATACAACCCACTGCTGAATGCCCAGCCACTAGCTTTATGCCTTGACAGCTACCAAAATGAGCAGGAGGAACATCCAGTGACTGACACTGTGCTGTGGTTTTGTTAGGTTCAGTTTGCAGTAGAACAACTGATGGCTTTGGGAACTGATGTTTCCAAAAACCAATTCCTAATCATCTTGGCTGTAAACCTTAAGTAAATTAAAAGATGTGCAGTAGTTTCTCTGAGTTCACAAATTTTTTGGAGAACTTCTCACCCTCATGGGAATTAAATGCTGAAGTTCTCATTTACCATCTAAATTTTAAGTTATCATGCTTTGCATTTTTCCAAGTCTTTTTTTTTTTTTTTTTTTTGGTTGCTTGGTTGTTTTGGTTTGTTTTTTTTAACCACAATATCTAAGTAAGAGGAGCTGGAAGTCCCCAGCCTCCTCATTCCTCTTTGTTGGAAAAAAACATTCTTTCTTCTGAAGTGTCCCATCAACTATTAACATGCCTGAAAGGTATCCTGAGGCTTTGAAAAAAAAATAAAAAATAGGACCATCTGATGGTCTATTCAACCCCATGGCGAGGGGTTGAACCTGTTGATCTTAAAGGTCTGAGCAAGAAGAAAATAGTTTGGTCTCTGGGCCCTTTATATTCCCCTGCATTTGCTAACTGGATTTATTGAATATGACACAGCTTTCTAGAGTGGGCAGAGGCTGGACATTCAGAAATCCTATTCCAACAATCCCAGAAAGGACAGGATTAGCTCCTGGGTAGCAACCCCACTCGCTGCTGACTGAAGTGCTGTTCCTAAGGGTAGGATTTCACCAGTGAGCTCCAGTCTTTTCCATGGGCACTACACTGGTCACAGTGGTCTTACCTCTTGTAAGAATGCAATTGAAGTCCCAAATGAAGCTGAAGAATAATATTTGTTATTTGTCCTTTCTCTTGGGAGTTCAAAGCTTCTCAAGCTAAAAGATCAGATGCTGGAGGGTACGTACCAGTGTCTGCCAACTCTCTCCCCAGGCTGTCCACGCAGTAACAGTACCCAGAGATCTCTGGGAACATCTCCCGCAAGGAGCTGAACGTTTGGAAAGCCCTTGGCAGCCTGGAAAGAAAAGCAGCCTCCTGTGAAGAGCCTGGGGATTTAGGTCGACAACAACAAAGCATCATCTGTGTTTCCCTCCTGAAACACCTCCAGATCAGTGTCAGGAGGCTAACACGTCTCCTAAACGCCATGTTTTTAAGCAAACATAAGACAGTCTCCCTTCAGACAGATTTCTGACCCTTCCTAAGCAGATACCCAGCACCTGACACTCATTTTCTATTCTACTCTCATCCTTGAAAGCCTGTCAACAAGTGTAAAATAGATGAACGTTGGCTTAATGTTATTACAACACCCATTCATTAGCTCCTTCCACAAATCTGCACAGGATGGCAGAGTGCCTAAACAAACAGGTTGCTTCCCCTTCTCTACATGCTGTGTACGCTTTCTGTACTGAATTAAGCACAAAAGCTGATAAAAACCTCACTAATCTTTTTTGTTTCCAGAGCATGGCTCAACAGATTAAGGAGAAAGGATTTTTAACATATTACAAGTAAGTTTGACTCTTACTTCTGGACATCAAAGAGATGCTAGTTTCCAGTATAATATTCTAGAAGTGAGAACAGCCAGATTCCAGTAAAGCAATGATTTAGGAAGGAAACTTAATAAGGTCAGAGTTGGAAAAAACATAATAAATGTTATTTTAATTGACAGACACTCCAGAGTTTTTCCAAGTAAACAGAAGATAAGTTTTTCTAGATTCAAAATGCCAATTTCCAAAACAATCCTATTATTTTACAGACACATACCGTCACCATGAAATACAACAAAGGTCTGGTGTCTGGCTGCATGTGGCTTATTTGGTAAAATCTAACAACAGGGAAGTGGAATTTTCTGCTCAAGCCATTCAGAGAACTACACAAATTAGATTTTTACCAAGGAAGGACACTTAGCAGTAAGAGTAATGGAGGATTAGGCCCTGATCAACTGGGAAAAAGGTTAAAGTGCCAAAGCAGTTTCCAGCATCCCTGTGAAACTGGGACTACAACCACTCTCAGTGCCAATGCCACCTTCCCAAAGCCTCAGGGCTGCTCTACAGCACATACAGTCTGTAGTGCCCCTGAGAGATGCAGTGACACTCTTGTCTGCTCAGTCAGTGGTCAGGTGAGAGGAGTGGTGTAACAACCCTTTGCTACCTTCAAAAGTCTGCCTGAGAGCTCTACCACCTCTTGCCAGGAGAGCTGAAGATGCTGCTGCTTCCTCAGTACCTCAAAGCACAAGCTGGGGAATGCACAAAGCAACAGCAGCCCCTGGCAGAAGGAGCTGGTAACCTCCAGGTTGTCCCAGTGTTAACCAGCAGTGCTCCTGTCTCAGAGGTTGCACATCTCTGCGTAGTGCTGCTTTGCTCTGGCACTCTCCTGTGTCTTCACACTAAAAGCCTACCGACTCCCTCCACTTTGAGTCACCAAATCCTGATCCACTGCTGACACTGGCATGCTAAAAATGTCATACTTCAGGGAAAAAAAAGTTCTGCCAGCACTAAAACAATGCAATTTAAGATATAGATACCTAAATACCATCTTTCTGTGGTCATCAATATACACATGGATATAAATAGCTTGAGATATTTCAAGAGCTTTCAGCTCCCCTGAATTATCATGTGCTGGCCACTGCCCAATCAGGAAAATGATCTTTTCTTTTCTTAGAAGAGCAATGCTCCTATATTCAAAGGCAGACCTCTCCACTGTTCATGTCCTTGGAGCTCATCACCTCAGCATCTCAACACTTAGCTGAGTGAAACAGGATGCAATGAAAAAATTCTGCATGCTGCTTTCTTTCATCCTCAACATTAAGAAGTCACATGCATAATTATACTACTTTTATATGTGGCAGATGCGTAGTCATATCCTGTCATTCTGGTTATTTTTGTTCCAAGTTGAGAGTACAGCTAAATAAAGTATAAACAGATATAAATTAGGCCCACACAAACAAGAGGACAGAACTTTTCTCACCTTACTTGGAAAACTCACTTCCTATTGTTTCTCTTCTTTTCTCAGTCTCCTTTTAATCTTACAGCCCTCGAGTAGCAACAACACGGAGTACCTCAACTATCAGACTCAGTCCAAAACAATGGCTGAAGCAAAGATGACTACATTTATGCTATGGATAAATTTATAGGGTATCCCTGTATTTCAACAGGAATGCTCACACTCAGAAATATGGAATTGTAAATAAATGTGAGATTGTTGACCTCTCCTTCAAACTATGAGTCTCCGTTCTTGGTTTCCAACAAAGATAACTCATTACCAATTTTCAAAAGCAGGTTTGCAAGTGACCCCTTCTAGATTTCTATGTGCAGCTCAAGTTATAGCTGCCTTTCTCATTGACTACTCAGAAACAGAGGGAGATGTTTTTCCATTGCCAATGAAACAATACATCATAGGGCAGAACCTCCAGTGAGCTGGGATAAAGACACTGACACCAGGTCTTCAGTCTGATGAAAATTATAGCAAGAAAGTAACAAGATCCTCCTTGACTTTTGATTTTTTGATCTTTCTCTCCAATCTATTACAGGGCCTTCTATATGGCTGCCCATCCAAGCAGGACCTGGGCACAGTCTGTATAAAATAAGTAACAGCAACCAAGTCACCAGGAGGAAATTTGGGCTCATCCTTCTTTCCAAAAGTCTTCCTCGTGGGAAAGTCTTAGCTCTAAGCTTCCGAATTTTTTTTTTACTTTTTTTTTAACATACTGATTTATTCTGGAATATTTCTAAAGGTGTAAGGAAACAATTTGGCACAGGCATTAGTTTGACATGCTAGATTTCAAAAATCAGTGTGTGGAACCAAAGAAAGTTGCTCCACTGGTGCCACATGAACATAAAATATGGGTTTAAATCTCTGTTCTGCTAAAGTCCTTTGCTGTGGAACTCATCCCTTCAACTCCAAATTCTGGCCTCCTGTTAGGATAATTACATTTCATGCAGTGTGAAAATAAATATATTAACGACCTGCAATACTCAGATATGATGGTAATGGGTTAAGTCAATGCCATAATTAGAAAGGTAGACAGCTATGAAATGACCCTGCTGTGATTAATTACATGACACAGGCACAAGAAAAGCCCAGTCTCGCAGGTCTTTGCAGACAAATCTCCCAATGGAAGAAAAAAAAAATGTTCATTTAAAGCATTGCTTTCACCTCTGTAATTGCTCTTTTAGAATTTCCACACTTCCCAGGCCAACAAACAAAACAGCCAGATTATTTTGCTGTTGCCAAAATAACCTCTCCCGAAGTTCTGACGAATTTGCACTGTGCATTCGGGCCTGCCTTTCAGCTTTGCTTAAATTAAAAAAGAAAACCCTCAAAATAGCAAAACTGACATTTACAATAAAATGCAATAAAATGTCTTTGCTACTACACAGCCAAGTCAGAAGGCTCCACTTACTCCACTGCCCTCCATTTACTCCATTGCCCTCCACCAGAGAAATGTGCTGACTGAGCTGCCAAGACAACGACACTTCATGAGAGGCCAAAATATCTGCGATATATGGATATCCATATATATGGATATAGGTAGATATATGGATATCTGTGTCTGAATATCTGCATCAAAATGAACTCCACTCCCTGTAGTTCCCCTTGCCCATTTCTCCACACAAGTAGTAATTCCCATCTTCTCCACAGGACAATGGCTTCTTGCTCCCATGGACAAGCATTTGATCCAGCGTTTTGAAGTCTTCCTCAGCCCACTCCAACAACCCAAAACCAGTTGTATGTCATCATGACTATTCCTCACGTACTGGTTCAACTGTGTGAGCAACACTGGCACTGTCTAAATGGATGAGAGTTTCCCACTGTCATGTGGAACTTGCTCTGTGTGCATTGACACTTGTTTGTCTGTTCATCTGTCTTCATCTCCCATATGGAATCCTCTTTCCTACCTCATACATACATCTGAATTCCTCTCTTCCTTCTGTATTTATCTCATTTGCTGTTATGTGTCTGTCTGAAAGGTAGCCCTGGCTGCTTTTCCAAATACAGATTGCAATGCAGTATCCACTGGTGTGTGAGGACACACTGATTAGATAGCAGAAACAGAATACCAGGATTTTCTAAATGAGTTAATTTAATTCAGAAGAAAAAGTTTGTTACTTGGTCCATTGATTAATAGAAAATAACATCATGTGGGGTCACTGGAGAAGTGCTTCATGTCCAACAAAATAATGTAGTGAGACACTGTCTTGAAGAGGTATGCAGGATTGCTTCCCTGTTTCAGAAGCCATCTCTTACCTGTTATAACTGTGAACAAGATCAAAAAACATCATGTCTGTAGTGTTGACAAACTTGCACTGCACAGGCAGAAACTCTCCATCTGCTGAGCACTGTGGTGGGCTCTTTTCCCCAAACCCATGCAGAATGCGACGGTCTCGGATCTCACAGTTCCCCGGACCTGATGGGAAACAAAAGTAATCTTCACTGGTGTTTTAAATTCCTACGAACAGCTGAGTAGCCATCCTATGGGTTGGAAGGGGCTTAGATTCATTACATTGAACATGGACCTCTAGATGCCTCGTATCCTCTTTAAGAGGAGCAGGAAGTTGGACTTCATTGGATCCTTATGGGTTCCTTCCAACTTGAGATATTCTATGATTCTATGAAATAGGGACTTAAATTCCTCAGGTAAGCACCTAGGCTTCTGTAGCATAAGTGTAGGCTGCAGCATCCAAGCTCCTGATCTACCACCTTTCATTCACACCAAACCTTCCCACCCTACAAAACCCACTGTTTGGTTGATTAATACTTACACTGTGTTGGCTTTCCTCTCTGCCTGGTGCCATAAATCTCCATTCCTTCTGGATCTACACACCAGCACTGACCCAGCTTCACGTCACACTGTACCTCATCAAAAGCACCTGAATCCAGGCACTGAGGGATGTAGGAGATGTCACTGTTGTTGATGTATCGACTCACCAGGATCCTCTGCTTTTGGAGCTGGCAAAAAGATAAGCCTATAAGACCAGAGAAGGGCACTGTTAGAGGAAGGTACTTGTTGAGCACTGAATCATTTATTAAAACAACATCTGAGTTTTCTCAGAGCTGCAAGTTCTGATTCTGACACCCAGGTGGCATGAGGACGTTGATAGACTTGACATTATTGTCCTGGTTTTCCTAGGATAGAGTTAATTTTCTTTTTAGTAGTTAGGATAGCTGTGTATAGAGAAACCCACCACAGATGGGGTTGAAGGTCTCCAACTAAAAAGCCAATACACTAAGTTAATCTTTCATTCATGATTTACATTACTGTGACCTTCATAAATACAGACTATCTAGGTGTATCAGGTTTCTGTGATCAGCCCTGAAGAAAATCCAGAACTTCCAGGAGAAAGACACAGTAAATTACAACAAACTAGAGTTCATCAAAGTCTGAAGCTAACCTATTCTCAATTTCAGCAGTTCAAATGCAGATTTAAATGGTTCTTTACCCAACCTGAACAAAAATAGAAACTTGTGACTTACAAGATATGGGATACCCATTCTGTTTGCTGCCAGGTACCTCAGTGCCGTTCTCATCCACACACCAACAAGAAAGGCCATTCCTACTGCACTGAACTGTCCTGAAGGAGATCACAAGTAACACATTTAATTTTGTTAGTAACAGAGTCCTCAGTCAGTATGGATATAAACAAAAACATAAAGCAACCCAAACAAGTTCAAGTACTTTAACATCACAAATAATAGAATCAGAAATGGCTGTGTTTCTGGTGACTGTACCTGATAGAAGCTCTTAGTTCTAGTAATAATCTAAAATCTTCAGGAATTGCAGATAATGGACTTGAAGTCACTCAGAAAGCAAGAAGGTTGGACAGAATCCTCATTCTCGGGATTTGAGATTTACCATACATTTTGAAACATTTTCTAAGTCAAATCTAGAATGGTCAAGGTCCCCCACCCTAGGCAATAATGATAAGACAATTGTAGAGAACATTACAACCTGTACTCCCCCTCAGTCTCAGCTTTAACTCATTAACTTCTTGCATCTTCAGGTAATATGCTACTCTCTAAATCAATGTTCTCCATGTGCTTTTTAGTTCCTTTATTGCCTTTAGAAGGAAACCCAACTGTGCTATTTACAGCAAGGTGGATAATTTCTCCAAGTCAACCTTGCTCAGCTGTGCCAGCTGGCACATGGGTCACAGACCACACACCCATGAGCATGCGTAGGAAGACCACAGTCGCATTACACAACCTGCACCATGTATTTAACATGCAAATAATGCTGCCAAGATTATTAATCTTAAATTGACCTCTTAACCCAGAGACTATTTTCAGCAACAGGGAATTCATTCAGGAGAGGCTGAATCTGCAACATGGCTCAATGAAGTAACTTCAAGTCTCCTGCACCTCTCACCCTCCAGTCTACCGATATGGAGGCTCTTCAAAACAAAGCCTAAAATTTTCATTAGTAATGAAAGGTTAGCAGCAGAATAATAGCATGGATGAATTACCTGAACTGGCCATCTTCTGAGCACTGAGGAACATAGGTTTCTCCTCCTGAAAAAGCCTTTTCCCTCTGAAGTTCGCATGGACGTAATGGTTGGGAATCTGTCTGATACTCTAAAAGCAGCAAGAAGGTAAACATGTAAGGGTGGTTTCACCACAAGCCTGTTCTTAACAAAACCTTGTTAATGTGGTAACAGCTTCAGGTTCATGAGTCCTTCCTGCTTGTTTCCCCATTGCTCCTTGTCTGCATTTCTGCATGGGACAGCACAGGGAGGTACTGAACAAAGTTGCTGGGCTGCCAGCTACAGGATAAGCACATGACAGAAATGTTCATGAACCCCTTTCCCAGGCCTGTATTTAATTAGTCTCAGCTTTGTTCAGTACTGGTGTGGCTATCACTTTCTGGTACCTGGAGTACTTTACTTACAGTTATTTGGGCCTATCACCCCAAAACAGCCCTTTGCCATAACCACACACATCACTATTAATGTTGCTGACTAATTGGTCTTTATTGAAGCTAAATCACTCCCTATTCCACCAAAAGGAGAGGTATTTCTTCTTAATCTCATGAAAGACCCAAAAAGAATCAATGTCTAGCAGTTAGCATCAGACTAATTCATATTAGGAGCCCTTCTCAATTTTCACCGGGGCAAGTGATCAACTACTGAAGCCACCTAGCAAGAAAACAGTCAACCCTTCAGTTCTTAACACACTCAAAACCACATTTGGATGTTCTTTTAGGAGAATGATGAAATTCAGTAGCTTCTTTTTTACAGAACAGATTAGTTGATCTGATACACTTTCCCCATCCTCAAAATCTGATAAATGTCATGCTCTTAATTCCGTTGACTAGTTCTATAAAAATCCAGTAAACAAACAAAACCCTGGCGACAGTGATTTATACCGAAGATTCACTTAATCCAGTACTTGTTCTGAGCACAAGCACACACAGTAGTACAAACTCTTCTCAGTGATGTCCAATGATAGGACAAGGGGCAATGGTTGTAAGCTGGAACACAGGAGGTTCCGCTTAAACTTGAGAAGAAACTTCTTTACAGTGAGGGTGACAGAGCACTGGGACAGGCTGCCCAGGGAGGTTGTGGAGTCTCCTTCTCTGGAGACATTCAAAACCCGCTTGGAGGCCTTTCTATGTGATCTCATTTAGGTTCCTTCTCTGGCAGGGGGATTGGACTAGATGATCTTTCCAGGTCCCTTCCAATCCCTAACATTCTGTGATTCTGTGAAACACATCATACATATTCTGAATACTTTTCAGCCTCTGATAATTTGCAGTGCAGGGACTTCTTTAACCACAGATGGTTTCTGTGGACCTAAGACCTCTTAATCACTTCTGTTTCTGTGAGTTTTTACTGTTTCCCTTTCAGCCCATGTGAAAATTTTCACAAGACTGTGAGACCCATAGACATCCATATGCAAGCAAACCTCACCATTTTAATCCCAAACATGACTCTGAGCCAGTTGCTCTGGGATGTGTGGAGATCCCTGTGTACAGGGCAAGAGAGGGTCTGCTAAAATATCTGAGTTAAGAGATTAATTCAGTGATTCACATTGCTTGTTGTGGACAACTATGAAGACCAAAGAACTGGGGACAGAACTCAGACTACCCAGTAGCTTAAGGTTTAAGACTAAATTAGTTGATGGCACATACAAGTAGAAGATATAATTTGAAGACTTTCACATCCCTGCAGCACCAGCTTTTTTTACCCAAACTCCTTCTTTAGCCCAGTCTGTTCTTTCAGAAATCTTTTTCCTACCCAAAATCCAGGTGTACTGACCTCAGATAACCCTGACAGCTTAAAGATCCTTATTATTTAGTATTTAATCTGGAGCCCAAACTCAGTTTGCACAGCACACAACTAGCGAAGTTTGCAGTGTGCAGGATTCAAGATCATTATATACTTCATCGGAACAATACACAGAGCAGCACAAAGATCACAGGAGCATAGTCACTACCGGACAGGCAAAGGAAAAGAACAAGCATACTTACTTACCAAATATATTGGCTGCTGCTATGATAATAAAGCAGCAAAGAAGGGTGCAAAATGGGATGGATCCCATCTTGCGATGGGAGAGCTCCATCCCCTTTTGTCAGAGGCAGCCCTGCACACCTCTTGTAGCCTTCTCCTGCCTTTTTATAGCAAGCACCACACGGATGGGTTCACTTCTGTGCTGGTAGACTGGCCACAAAATTGGGTGAGTGACGCATACGATGCTTCTGAGAAAACCACAAGAGGCCCATTCACCTGGAACCACCCTCGTGGGTCTCCTCAGCCAGTTCTCATCCCCGCTCCAGGGAGCACTGCTGATTTTTAGAGGAGAACAAGCGGCAGCAGGCACAGGGGATGGCAGGGGGGATTTAGTTAAATCAACATGCAAATTGAGCACATTGACATGACCCCGTCCAGAGCCCTGGCTCTCACCTGCACTGTGGTGCAACCAGACTTGGTGCTCTGTATTAGAAGTACCATTTTTGTGGTTCTAAAGAGTCTAGCCTGCTGAGGGGACAGGCAAGAGTTAGGCCTCCAAGCGCTGCAGCACTGGGAATTAATACAATTCATAATGTGGTTATTTAATAAGTGACAAACAGGATGGATGCAGCTCCACTATGAAGGGAATTGAGGGTCAGAGTCAATTGCATTCAACCTTTTGCTTTTGTTCCCACTTGCACCATGCAGTTTAATACAGCCCAGTATCTGATGGGAGGCAGCTTAACTTCTTGGGCTTCATCCTGCAGGTGTAAGATCAGTATAATCACTAAGCATATTTAAGCCAAGATTTTAGGTACTAATTGCATGCAAGATCTTTGACCTAAAACATCTTAGAAATATTATTTGATTGGTTCCAGAGTATCACTTCTTATTTGTCCACCTCTTATGATTGTAAGTTAGTATTTACTTGTACCAGGAATTACAAGAACTCATTCACATTTGTGCAAAGGTGGTAGGAGAAATAGGCCCAGAATAATTAGCTAAATAATAACAGAAGCACATGTTTGAGGTTGGACTTGGGCTGATTTCAAGAAAAAGTAGCACTCTGGTTTGTGATTCATGGGTACTAGACAGTGTAGAAACGACAGTAGTGATATGCTTACAGACCAAGATTGTGCTAACAGTGATCCAAGCACCATTCTGTGTGGGCTGTAGACCACTGCAGTGCTACAGTGTTTGATATACATGGTAAATGCGACCTCAAACAGCAGCACAAGCTTGCTTTAGCATGACTAGACTTAAAATGAGTGGGACTATATTTGCATTTTACTTTCAAACAACCTAGTCTGGACTTGAGGAAAGTCAAGAGACCACAGAAGGATCTGGCTGGGAAGAGATGAAGAAAGTGTCCAGCGCAAATGACAGATGAAAAAAGGCAACATTCAGAGACATAAAGAAGAAAAAATCCTGTAACAGCCCTGACTAAGCAGGCACAGAAAGAAAATGCATTCTGGATTAGCATAGCACCTGTGGGGAAATGTACATGCAGAGCAAAGGAATGCCACTAAACAGAGAATAGCCAGCATTAGCACTAGGGTAGCTGAATCAGGAGAGATGAAAAGTTTGACCATGACATATATTTCTGACTCAAATATCCTCCAAGAGCCTCAGGTTTGTGTCTGACCCACAGTGCAGTGGGGCAGTTACAGGAGAGCAACAAGAGATAACCCAGGCCAGTGTCATGGGCTCTCCAGAGGCAGCACGGTCAGTGCTCATAGGTACAAGGATGTTTCCAAGCCAGTGAAACACATATCCAGAGCGTGTGTTGGGGATGTGTGCGAGACATTGATTTAGTCCAGTGTTCTGAAGTTAGTAAAAAAGTGTCATTTAGGTTCCTTGCACAGCAAATGGGGGAAGAAGCAAGCTCATGAAGGTAGCTATTCACTTCCCTCTTTTATTCTTTGCTACCAAAGGTAGCTGACAACAGAGTAAGGCAGACAGGACACCAAAGAGGTATCAAAGGGCTATTACTAACAGAAGGAAGCACAAATCTGCAATATCCACCTAGATTATTTTTATTTCCTTCAGAAACACTCAGAAAACAACCTCTGAACTATGCAAGTTGGGAAGAACAGCCAAGTCTAAAAAAAGTCTCTTAAAAAACAAAGTGAGAAAGTGAGTTTTGGCAATTGGCATCACTTAAATAATTTCTAGATGTGCGTCAAACCAAGATGGGCATCTCAGTATGTGCAGGTTCAATGGGATGCAATAGCCCGTGGATTAAAAAGAAAAAAAAAAAAAAAGTAGTTTACAGAGCAATATGCACAATCCACATTAATCAGAGGAAAAAAAAAAACCCAAAAAACCCCCCAACAAAAACCACTTGTCTATGGCTGATCAAATTCAAATTAAGAAAAGCCAGCCTCACTGAAGGTTATGCAGTGAGGGGATATTTGAATTGATCTCTATTTTTAGCACTTGAGAAAAGATGGAAGAATATCTTAAATTAGCTCACCAATGAAGGGGAGAAAAGGACTAAGTAGAAAATGTTCGTGTTGCCAATATGGCCTTGAAACTCACACGTCTTCAAAATCATTGCTCTAGTGCTGGAAACGAGGGGTTTATTTGTTGTACACACTGGTAAAGAACTACTCAATCTAGACTATAATTGTTGGGGGAAAGAAAAATGCCAGTGTGATGAAACATTTGAAATCACAAACCTCAAGGGAGAAGCAGATCATTTATTCATTATTCCAGTTTTGCATACAATTTCTTAGCAGAAAAAATGGTTTGTGCAACTGCCAATTTTACATAACAAAAGGCCCAAGGGTAAATGCTTCCTGTATGTGAATGCATAAAACATCCATACCCACAGAGAAGTTGCTCTCACCCAAATAAAACTTGAGCCTGAGAAGTCAATCTTAGTTTAAGAAAAGAACTTAAGGGAGCCTCCTGAATGAGGCAGCAAATTGGAAGCAAAAATTTTAAGAACTGAAAATGTCAAATTATGCCCATAACAACTAATTCATTTATTTTTAAATAAAAAAGAATCTGTTTTTCTGTGTTAAATAAATCAACAGTACTGGACAATCCTCTCCCATGTTTTAAGAAAACTATGTTTTTACATACCATTTGTTAGCAACTTATTACACTTAGAGATAGAGAACTCTGTTTTACATTTGGTACATTCCTTCCCAAACATGAGATATTTGTCTCAATTTTCTTCACATGATTTTGTCACAGATAAGAATAACTAGACCTTGTGAAGCGCTTATCATCTCTATCATCTCTGATTATGTTTTAAAAAGTCCTCATGTGATGCAAAATTAAAAGAGAACAAGGAAAAAAAATAGTCCCACCAGATAACACAAGTTTCAGTCACTTCATGCATGACAATGTTCCTCAGATTGAAAGAATGATGGGGAAGATCCAGTAACTGCTATACTAAATTTGGCTAGATCAGAAAAGCAGCCAGAAGACTTCTCAATTTTTTGGATTATAATTTATCTGTTGGCAAAGTGCCTTTGGTGACAAAAGAATCTAAAGAAGCCCGTGTAAGAATATTTGGATTTGCCTTTGTCCCTGAAGAAATGAACCATTTCTAGGACAATATGTCTTTTTTCTTACTTATCCATTGGAGATAACACAGTTTATCCTCTAACAGTACCATAGTGATGCAAAGTAGAAAAATATTTATTTTATTCTCACAACATCTGGGATGCAGATTGTGTTGAAACCCAAGCAGAAGTCAGTTCTGCAACCCACAATGGCATGATGCATAGATTTGCACACTGAATTAATTCCATGTTTGACAAAAGCAAGCCAATGGAGTGAGAAAAGGCACCACTGGTCACACCAGGACAGCAAGAGGGTGCCAAACTGCTGGTGTTAGCAGGACAAAACTACTTTTGGTCTCTGATAATGTAATACTTAACCATCTCTGAACTGAAGGCATCAGCATACAGCTAATGGAGGCAGAAAGCAAGTTCAAGGACAAATACAACTCCTTCTGCCACATACTAAAGCCATGGAATTCAACATGACATCTAATGTTGTGGAGAGAAATGAATGAAAAATGATGGATTAAACTCATGGAGCACAGATCTGTCAGTGTTCTATAAAATTGATGGTCTTCATAAAGATTTTGGTAAAGGAAACCTCAGTTTACCAGAAGTGAAAGATATATTGAGGGAAAGACCAGTTTTACAGAACTTTTACAGTCAGCAGGTTTCTACAGATGCTGACATTGTATTTCTACTGAAGATAAGACACTGGGCTGGCTAGATGTTTGGTCTGACTCATGAAACATCTTCTGTCGTTAAGCATGCTATTTAGAAAAAGTGTTTTGGTGTATTACTCCATGATCTGAATCTGGCCTTGTAACTTAAATCTGAGAGACTGCTTTGAGACCACCTCTTCAATAATGATTAAAATATGTTTCAGCATTAAAATTCTGAATTTTGTTACATGTTTACGATCATATCTATTTTGCTGTGAACAAACAGAACAATTTCTCTGTATTAGTAACTCACTGAGATTCTGTCAAATTTCATTCATCTGCTGCTTATCACTTATGCCCTGGTGCAGAGGACAGAAGCCCCATCCCTGGAAACATTCTAGCTCAGGTTGGACATGGCACTGAGCAAACTGATCTGGTTGAAGATGTCCCTGCTGACTGCAGGGAGTTTGGACTAAATAACCTTTAAAGGTTCCTTCCAACCCAAACCATTTTATGTCTAGAAGAACTTTCTTAGCATTGTTTGCTTATTTTTCTACTACAGTAGTCATGAACAACAGTTTGTAGGCAATATGACAATAAATCACTAAAAGCAAATTGAAGGTATTTTGTAATGACCTCGTGCAAAGGCACAAAACTAGAAACACCCTTAGAAGGTTGATGTCTCAAGAAGAGATGCCATCACTGTGAATGCGTTATTGAAAGACGTTGTCTTCTAAGAATTGAGTGCACTGCAAAACTCAAACCCTGAAATTGTTAAATACCAAAGTAGTTCAAGAAAAGAAAAATCTAATTACTTTGCCACACAGTTGATAATTCAGTACTGTAAATAAATTGCTGACTCTATAATTTAGCCTACAGGCTAAAATACAACTGAAGATTCCCTAAAGCTT